TGTACTGGACTGTAGGGTTGGTTTGAACTACACAGTTGGCAGTTCAAACCCACAGCTGCTCCTCAGAAGCCCTATCCAAGGTTGCTTTGAGCTGGAATTGACTCACAGCACTTAACGTGTGTGTGTGTGTGTGTGTAGAGTCCTGATGTGGTGCTGTGGGGTTAATGCACTGGACTGCAAGGTTGGTATGAACCGCTAAGTTGGTAGTTCAGGCTCACCAGCTGCTCCTTGGAAGCCCTACAGTGTTGCTATGAGTCAGAACAAACTCGACTACACTTAACAACAACAACGGCAATGTGTGTGTAACAGGGGATGGGCTTGCCTAGATGTTCTGTGGGGATCTGTCTTGTTCCCAGGAGCTGGCTCCACTGGGGTCCTTCTGCCAAAAACAAAATCCAAACTGGAGAAGGTTATAAATACAGCACGGTGTCAGCGTCAGCCCCAAAACCCACAGAAGTGCCCCTGGCATGAATGTGTGATGACAAAACCAAAAGGCAGCTCCTTCCAGACAGCCACATACACAACAAAGCAGCCAACTTTGTTCTTCATTTAAAAAGAAACACAAAAGGCTTCACACATCTATTTTTAAAATTCAAAACAGAAAGCAGGAGAATCCCTAAATACATCTTGTGCCTCTAGCTCCTTGGTGGTGTTCTTTTGCCGATGGACCCTCTCTGCCGGCCCCCTTCTGGGATGCCTGTTAGAACCTACCCAGGTTGGAGACTTTGACACTATGGTGGGCACCCAGCCCCCCAGAGCTGCCGGCTGGTTGGTCTAGTGTCTGACAATTCAATCCGTCTGCTGGAAGGGGTGCCATTCTGCTCCTTCAGGTTCCCAAAGCTCGGGGTCTCGTCCACCCAACTCCTCTTCACAAGCGGGGACCAGAACCTCTCAGATAGGACACACACTGGAATAGTGGGGATGGTCGCACAACATACTGAGCACAATCAATGGCACTGAATTGTCCATGTGAAAAATACTGACTTGGCAAATGTCCGTTCATATCCATTTTACAATAAAACATGTTTTCTAAAAAGGTATGTCGCTGAATTGGCAAGTGCTCGATTATATAAAATTTTGCCACAATAAAACAATGACTTAAAAAGGTATGTGGGACAAGTTTTCAAGAGGGAATTTAGATTCAGAGTGTGCGGGGAGGTAGAATCCCCACTGAGTGGTTTTCATCTTGTCTAGACTAGGTCTGGTGAAAGGAGACGGGGACAAGACTCTCATGATTCAATAGTGAGTACTTGTTATCATAACTAATTGTGATTGTCGCCACTGTAAAGGCAGAAGTTTTGTAATAAAAAGGGGTGAGTGGTTGCTCTTACAGTCCCAGAGTGATGACCCGAGTCCCATCAAGGGAGAAGAGTGGGAGCTGGATGTGGGACCCTACCCAGAGAAGCAGTGACACTAGAGATGGAGGCAGAGATGATGATGACGTGGAGAGATGAAGTGTCTGGGGACTCTAGACTCATGGAGGGAGAGGGGATGTGTGCTGGCAGCTAGGGGCAGGCTTGCAGGGTGTGCCCTTTGGCTCTTTGAATGACTGTGTAGTCCTGAGTGTTTTGGTGCACATCCAAAAAAACCCTAGAGGGAATAGAAGCAAATACTGTTGAATGAAGAAGCATGCAGGGAAATGCAATACATGCAATGAAACAAAATACAATTGTAATCATTGCAATGAAACACGATGAATGTAAAACTGATGTTCCCCCATGTAAACTATCACTCAATTCACCATGAAAACTTTAAAATAAATAAAGTGTATCTAAAAAAAAAAAAAATGTATGTAGGTTGATTATGTACCATGCAGGGTACTGGAGTAGGGGAGTGGAGGGGTTACAGTTCACCTGTTAGAACATTATGCGGAAGCTTTTAAACTAACACTGGACTGTCAGGAAGGTTGCAAGCTCTGTACATTTAATAAAATAACTGAATTGCATACTTAGAATGGGTGTGTTTTATGGTATGTAAATTATACCACCATAAAGTGGTTATAAAAACATCCCTGGAAACGTTTCTGTACCAGACCCCAGGGGCAGCCTTTGCTCTGTACTTGGACCATCTTTCTTCCAGGTGGTTCTGAAAGAGGATGGAACAGGGCTGCCCAGTGAGGTCATTGCTGAAGAGAGGGTGGGAGACATGGGTGGGGAGTAAGGCTGGAGCCAGGATTATGAGGAGTGAAGGGGGCCTTGTGGGGACAGGCACAGAGAGACATTGGAAGGCAGGAATACAGGAGGCAGCACCAGGTAGGTTGTGGCAGGGAAGGATGTGTCAAACATCAGGCTTAAACCTATAGATCCAAACCCACTGCCAATGAGTGGATTCTGACTTAGAGTGTCCTTGTAGGGCAGAGTGGAGTCCCAGTGTGGTGGTGGCACTGAAGGATAAGCGCTCAACCTCAAGGTCAGTTTGAACCACAAGTTCAGCAGTTCAAACTCACCAGCCACTCCTCAGAAGCCCTATATGGGGTCACTCCGAGTAGGAATCGACTTGCAGGCACTTGACAACAGGGCAGAGTTCCTTAGGGTTTCTAAGACTAAACCTTTACGGGAGCAGACAACCTCATCTTTCTCAAGAGTGGCTATGTGCGCAGGGCTTAACCCACTGCATCATCAGGGCTCATTGTTGTGGTTGTTAAGTGCCGTCGAGTCAATTCCAACCAATAGTGACCCTGCATAGGGTTTCCAAGGAGCGGCTGGTGAGCTTGAACCACCGACCTTGCAGTTCAAATGACTTTGCAGTCTGACGCATTAGCCCACAGTGCCACACCAGGACTCCAGGGCTCATTAGGTTGAACCATATACAACTGCCATTTTCGTAAACCAGATGCATACCGTCCAGCCTAACACGGAGATGTCAGTATGTGATTCAGGGCAGGACTCAGGTGGGGCAGGATTCCAATCAGCCCCTCTGCTCACTAAGGAGCTCTGGTAGCATAGTGGTTACGAATTGGGCTGCGAACCACAAGGTCAGCAGTTGGAAACTACCAGCGATTCTGCAGGAGAAAGATGGGGCTTTCTGCTCCCGTAAAGGTTTACAGCCTTGGAAACCCTGTACAGAGTCGCTATGAGTCGGAACCAACTTCACGGCATATAACCACCACCACCACCTCTGCTTACTGCTGAGAAACCAAGAGCCTGTCACTTGGTTCCTGTGTGCCTTAGTTTTCTCATCCATAATGGGGCTGGGCCACAGTTTCCAGGGTACTTCCTTCCCATCTCCCAGTTTGTATGGGGGAGTCCTTCTCTCCTGGCTCTCCTCCTTTCCTCTGATCACCTGACAATTTTGGACCCGGAGCAGGTGGAATGCCAGAGCTGCCTACCTTTGCAGACATTTCTCTCTTCTCTTCCCCTGAACATCACACTTGAAACCAAGCAGGAGACAAGTCCATCAGGAAAGCCCACCCCTCCCACTTTACTGAGTCCCACGTCCCTGGGCACCGGGCTGCTACTGGGTTGGGCAGTACTGGCCTCCTCTGACCTTTCTCTGGGAGATGCTTACAAGGAATTGAGGCAACAAATGGTCCAACAACAGAGCTGGGTAGGAGAAGGGTGTGTGGGCTCATTAATACCAACAGTCAGGAGCTAGGGCGTCTCCCCAGCCACTGCTATACACAGCTATGCAGGTGTGCAGACTGAGACAGGATCCCCCGGAGAAAAGGTGATCATCGGTGCACTGAGGCCTAGCGAGGACCCCCCTATGTGCACAGTGTCCTGGACCAGGACTGCCTGCAGGGTCGGGGTGCTGAGGAAGGTGGATCCTCCATGAGTAAAAGTCCTTGTACCCAGGGCACTTCCCCTCCAGTCTCAAGACAGCTTGGTCAGGACCCAGTGCAACCAGACTCCAGGGAGACAAGGGAAGGGAGCTGCCAACACAGATACACGGGACCCCTTGTAAAGCAGCTCCTGTCTGGGACCCTACACGTGCGCCTCTTTCAGCCTTTCTCGACCTATTCAAAACCACAAAGCCAAACCCACTGTCACCAACTCATATTCCAACTCAAAATGGCCCTAGAGAACAGAGTGGAACAGAGCCGGCTGTAATGTTTACGGAAGCAGACTGCCACATGGTTCTCTTGTAGTATAGCTGGTGGGTTTGGACCATTGACCTTTCAGCTAGCATCCAAGCACTTAACCATTGTGCCACCAGGTCTCCTTCACCTATTCAGGGGGGTCCCAAAACTAGGGTTCAAGGTCAAGGTGTCCACCAGAATGAGGGCAGTCCTAGCCAGAGAGCCAGTCTGTCTGTCAGCCTGTGGGTCGTGGGTGCAGGTGCAAGCACACACAACTAAATCATATTATATTCAATGAATTGAGGAGACAAATGGTCCAAAGACAGAGCTGGAGAGGAGAAGGGTGTCTGGGCTCCTTATTACCAGTAATAAGTTAGGTTATAAGGAGCTAGGATTATAAGGATGGGAAAGTTCCCTAAACATTCAGTTCCTGAGAAAACAATGTACAGTTTCCTTCATCCAAGTCTATGCAAACCAAAGCTTTGCATGTTTTCAAACTACTGTTTGTATTACAAAGACAACAAAGGCCCCACTATATACTGTGCCAATGAGAAAAGACCTACTGCCTGTAACTCAGGGAGCTCGCTGTCCAGCAGAAAACAGACAGGATCCCAGAGGTGGACAAATGTCTGTTCTTCCTTTATTGACAATAGGTGACATCTATAAATCATATCATTTGAAGCCACGTTCAACTCAGGTGGTAAAATCCACCCAGGCCCCTAAACCCAGACCGACTTCTGACAAGGAATGAAGTGGCCGCTCGCCTGTCTTTGTATTCCCACATAAGGGGCCAGAAGCATTTATCATGAGGAGGACATGCTCCTGACTCAAGGTCTCAGGGCAATAAGCCCACCCGCTCAAATCTCCACATCCGAAGCACGAGTCTCCATTGTCCTGGCTCCAAGCCAGTAGTCAGGGTTCTCTGGTCAACACCTGCAGCAGGCTGATGGCCTTGTCCAGGCACTGGGGGGTTCTCACTCACCAGACAGCGGGTCTTTGCCGATCATCAAAACATTGGGCAGATTCATGACGATCAGCTGCTGGAGGACTTCCTACAGAAACAAAAGGGTAAAGAGACCATTTGGCACGGGAAATGAAAATAAAGAATGACTAAGTGAATTTCAGTTGTGTGCAGTCACCACATGAACTTGTAGTCTTTAAATAATGATGAAGACGCTACACAAAGCAAGAAATATTTATGACTTCAATCTATGTGAAAAGTCAAATTCTAATTGTACTTCTGTACTTTTAATCAATAATTAAACGTTACCAAATAAAAATTGGTTTTGGTGGTTATGTGCCCTTGAGTCGGTTCCGACTCATAGTGGACCCAGTATAGGGACTCCAAGGTGTCTTTGAACTGCCGACTTTGTGGTTTGCAGTCCAGTGCTTATCCTACAGTGTCACACCAGGAGTGTAAATAAAAATTACGTCCGCCTTTGTACAGACACCTTGGGACAAAAAAGATCTACTACATTCTTGGTTAGCATGATTATAGTGAATTTCTTTTTTAAAGAGATTCCTCAGGATTTTTATTATATTGCTTGTGCAATTAAGAGAAGGCAGAAAAGAAATTAAAGACATGCCATGGAGTCTTTAGGACTCCTGGTGTGGCATTGTGGGTTAATGCGCTGGACCGTAAAGTCAGTTTGAACCAACTCGACAGCACTTAACAATACCACCCAAAGAAATGGCTGACAGTTGATCTTGAATCCGCAGGTTATAAAGGCTCAGTTGTTTGTTGTTGTTGTTAAGTGCCATCAACTCAGTTCTGACCCGTGACAACCCTGTATAGGGTTTTTGAGGAGCAGCCGGTGAGCTTGAGCCACCGACCCTGAGGTTCAAATCAACTTTGCAGTCCAGCAATTAATTCACAGTGCCACGCCAGGACTCCTTTCTTTGGGTGCAAGTTGTAAACGAGCTCTTGCAGAGCCCCCTCCCCCTCCCCCAGGGTTTTCACGGATGTCCTGGTAAAGCACTAGCATTTGTTGGAGTCCCAGGATGGTATTCCCTGCCCAGATGTGCCTTGTTCTTCACAAATCAGAAGATTAACATCCAATTCTACAGGAGACAAGAGAATCAATTTCAGAATGCTTCTGTTGTTTATAAGAGTTATCGAGTCAGTTCCAAGTCATAGTTATTAACCCCCTATTTAGGGGTTTCTGAAGTTTTTAAGTCTCCTGCAGAAAGTTTCATCTTTTTCCCGGGGTCATAATGCCTCTGTAGTTGTTGTTAAGTGCGGTCGAGTTGGTTCCGACTCACAGTGACCCTGTATGGTTTCCAAGGAGCGGCCGGCGAATTTAAAGTTCCAACCTGCGTGTGGCCCAGTGCATTATCCTGCAGCCCCATAAGGTCTCTCGAGCTTATGAAGGTATCACAGGTGAAACTTTTCAAGGATTTTGTAACAGTTCTGTTGAGAATGCTTTTTGGGAGTCAGTCTACTGCATAAAAGGAGGATTGGTGAAGAGAAGACACTGCCAGCTCATCTCACGTGGGTACATGGGGCATCTCAAATCTTGGATTTACTAGATTAGAATTTAGTCTCAGTGAATAATGGGGTGGGGGTGGAGGGAAGCACAGCAGAAAGGTATGCACAATTACTTATCCCACCTTCCTATGACTGATCTTTCTAGAGATCCTGTTCACACCAGAACTCAGGGGAGGGGATGTTATACCAGGAGGCAGACCCCACTGCCAAATACCAGCCAGCTTTCCACTCGGTACAAGAAAGCATCTCTTTTGAATCTGGGTCACCTGCAAGTGCATGAGAGCTGGCTAATGTTTCCTCAAACAACGAGTCTCGATTGGTAAGCACCTGTTTAAGTGCTGGAGATAAAGTCCGAATTGTGTAATCGCTTGGAAAAAGTTACCACAAAAAAAGTTAATTCTATGAGCTCACGGAAGGATTCCATGGTCCCACCCTGAGGCGGAACAAACACCTCAATTGAGGAAGAATCAGCGAAATCCACATGCCAAGTGTGCGGCCCAACTAAAGAATGAACTAAAATGAGATATGGAGTCATGGTGTAGCACTGTAGGATAAGCGCTGGACTACTAACCACAAGATCAGTGGTTCAAACCCACCAGCCGCTCTTTGGAAGTCCTATGTTATTATTAAGTGCTGTCAAGTTGGTTCCAACGAATAGTGACCTGTATAGGGTTTCCGAGGAGCAGCTGGTGAGTTTGAACCGCCAACTTTGCGGTTCAGACTGACCTTGCAGTCCACTGCTTATCCTACAGCACCACACCAGGCCTCTTGGAAGTCTTATACACAGCTACTATGAGTCGGGACCAACTCAACCGTACTTAACCACAACAAGGTGAGCACAGTTCCTTTTTAATTCCTCCAGGCTTGCCCTCTGCCTGTCCCCAAGTTTCTGTGCACCTTGGCCCTCCTTTCAGTGCACTTTAACAAGAGCACATATTCATAAATGAGACAGAAAACGTGCAAGAATCTTGACGGTCTCTGTCAAACCACTAAGCGCTATCTTTAGGTAAGTAATGCAACTGAAGCAATGTATTATTGCTTGAAAAGTAAACCAGTGCATTATCCTTTTCTCAACACAGGGTTTAAAAATTTGTTTTAATTAAACAGAGAACCAAGCCTTCTGGCATGAGTCATTTGTGACTCATAGTGAACCCATGTTTCCAAGGCTGTCTAAGGAGTCCTGCTAGGGCACTGGAGGGTAAGCAATGGCAGCTATAACCACAAGATTGGTGGTTCAAACCTACCAACCACTCCTTGGAAACCCAATACAGAGTCACTATGAATCTAACCGAACTGATGACACTGCACAACAAAATCTCCAAGAGAGCAGACTGCCACAGCTTTCTCCCATGGAATGGCAGGATTCGAACCTCCAACATCGTGGTTAGCAGTCCAACACTTAACACACCTACCACCAGGAATCCTTTCACTGAAATTACTTGCTCTGTATATAAATGTCAAACCCAAGTTGCTCCCAACACACTTAAAGTTCTCCAGTAACTAAAGTACCAGTGTTTTTTGTTTTGAATCGCTCCTCAGAAACCCTATGCAGGGTCACTATGGGTCGGAACCAACTCGACGGCAGTTAACAACAACAACAAATATATGTATCACAACACTTGCCGGTTCAACATTTTTCAGGTGTACAAATTCCGTGATATCAATTACATTAATCATGTTATACAACCTCCAGGAGTATCCATTTTCAAATTTAAATTAATGAAAAGGAACCATCCACCTCCTCCTCCTCCTCACTTGCGCATTCAGGTCCTGGCCAAGGCAGGTAGGAGGAGCAGCGGCCACCAGCCTTCTCACATCTTTGTCCTGAGCTGAGTCCCGGCTCCTGGGGGGGGTGGGGTTCTGTGGCTGGCTACAGGCCAGGCCCTCAGTCCAGCAAGGACGTGAGGAGGGTGCCAATGAGAGGCCCCCGTGCCTGCTATCCCAACAGAAGGCCATTGTGGAGGGTGCAGCTGACTGGCTGCTCAGAGGGAGGGTGGGTGGGCAGCTGGTCACACCCCAGCCAGCAGCGGCCACTGTCACATCCCTTGGCAGGGATACAGGAATGCTCAGTCTCCCAGCTGTCTCTGTCTTACCTGACCCTGCTCCCAGCCTCACTGGCAGAGGAGATAAAGTCAGTGAGAACTCCCAGCCAGATTCAGACCTGGGGTCCCTAACCCCCATCCCACCCATCCCCACAGAATCATCTCCTTAGCTCTGCTTTCAAAGTCAAGGATAAGGAGGCAGGGGAAGGCAATAGTTTAAGTCCTGGTGTAGTGCTGCAGGATAAGCACCAGACTACTAACTGCACAGTCAGCGGTTCAAATCTACCAGCCACTCCTCGGAAACCCTACACAGGTTCACTATGAGTTGAAACCAATTCAATGCACTTAACAACAAGTGTTACGTGTAAAAATGGCCCCTGGAATTGCTTCAACACCTGCCAGGGGCCAGCTTGACCCGTGGGCTCAAATAGAAAAGCCACTTCCTCTCTGCTGGTAGGAGAAACGCCATGTCCTGGGAGGGTTTCTGGGTAAAGTCGCCTCTGTGTATGTGTGCTGGCGGTTACCCTCAGTTCCTGCTACCAATACTGGAGCGAAGACTTCATGAAGAAATGGGAAACCTTCCTTCTCTCTGGCCAAATAAAACTGAATATTATGGTTTGACATTTGGCCAGGACGGAAGTACCGGTGCCGCTCAGTGGAGCTGTTGTTGTTGTTGTTGTTATGTGCCATCGAGTCGGTTCCGACCCATAGCGACCCTGTATAGGGTTGGCTATACTGAAATGAGAGGAGCATCCTGTAGAAGGCAGGGCAGGCACGGAAGAGGCATCAGGAGGCAGATGACGCTCACCGTGGCCAAAGAGTCCGGGTTGGCCCAGCGCACCACTCTAGGCAAGCTCTGAGAGTCAAAGCTTTCTGCAGGGGCCAGCACACAGCCTGCAGACCAGGGACCTGGGGCTGGGAAATTCACAGTGAGCACCTGGGTATAGCTGAGAGCCGCAGGCGTGGCTAGGAGCAACCAGAGAAAGCACAAAAGTGTCAGAGCTGACACAGCACAGCCAGTACTGCCAAACTGCCCTGGGGGAGTCTGGGAGGGCTTCTAGGAGGAGGTAGCTTCTGAGCTGGGCTGTGGAGGAGAGGGCTGGGAAACATATAAGGTGGCTTCAACAAGTTCGTGGGAAAAAAATGGAATGGAATTTTTCAGCGAAACTTTTGAAGTCTCCTGGTGTACCTGCTTGGCGTGACCAGCAAGTCAAAGGCTTGGCTATGTGGTGCACCAGGCCAACTGTACTACAAACACCCTGCTTTTCCCATGGGGTGGGTAGCTTTTCCTCACACAGCCCCACTCTCAATGACCACCTTCAGGAACCCTAGCTCATCTAAAATGCCACCTCCTCCATGCAGCTACACCTGCCCTCGTTCTGTGGCACTTTCACATTTTGCCTGTTAGTCACCTCCCCACACAGAGGCTGCTGCTAACCATGCCAGTGGAAAAAAATTAAGTTTTCAAAAAATGTTCCAAAGTTTAAAAAAACCTATCTTTGGGGGCAGAGGCACCTCACAC